CAAGGATATGTGACTAACTTTAGTTTGCCATTGCTTTCTGAATGGTACAGTGTTTATTTATACTGTTGTTAAAAAAAAAAATCAGTACAGTGGTCTGCTGCTAGTCTGAAGTTGAACTCAAGCATGCAGTTGTCTTACAGCCTTTTGCACCACAAACTAGCTTGCAGTTTCCCCTACACTGAAATCTCCATAATTTTTCTTTTATCTTCATTATGTGCTGTACTCATCGGTTTACACCCCCCCCCCCCCAAGAAAAAAATCTGTTCCATTTCCTTACAAGTTGTTGAAATATTCTTAGCTGATTTAAGTTGGTCATAACTGCCTTATATAAAAAGCAGTTGGTGTTATTTTTCTTTTTGTGTTCAGCCTTAAAGTTACGGTTGGCATGTAATGTTGTGGTTTACAGCTAGGCCTGATGGCACATTGTATCTATATCACTTGATGCTAATGTTAAGTGATATTAATAAAGTAACAAACAATGTATTGATCAACCAACACTCATAGAAAGAAGTAGAAAGATAGAACACACTAGACAACATGAAAATAGAAAGCTCATACCTGTCACCTCCAGACAGCATGTGCGCCTCACCGTGGAAACATTTACTAAGAATATGGTCAACTTTGAGTGATGGTACAGTATTCTTCTTCTACCCTCCAGTAGCGCCTGGACCCTCCTCAATTAAATCATGCTGTTACCCTATCTATTGCTATCGTGTGCAACTCAACCCTAAGTTATCCTCAATTTTTGTCCCACTTCACTCTCTAATTCTCTTCTCCACCATGCGTTTTTGGTCAGCTTTTATCATGTTGATCTTTTGGGTTTGAGTTAAATTGTTCTAGAAGATATCCAACACTAAGGGTGAAACGGGGAAACAGGGTGAACTTTTAATCAGTTTGCAAATGGTACTATTAGCGTGTCAGCTCTTAGAAAAATCACAAATAATTCAACTAAAGAAGGGACAGAGTAAATGTGAAATTGTCCCAGGTGCATAGATGCCAGTTCCTAATTCATTCACTTGCATGAGCAAGAGGTTTGATGTTGGCGGGGGGGGGGAATGCATTGATGAGTGTTGTTGCGGGGGGGCTGGGACCAGACACTTCTTACTGCTAATTTGTCTTTGGCATTCTCCAGCTTCTTTCCTTTGATTACAACCAGTCCTATATCTTTGGCATTCTACAGCTTCTTTCCTTTATTACAACCAGTCCTATATCTTTGGCATTCTCCAACTTTCCTTTGATTACAACCAGTCCTATATCTTTGGCATTCTCCAGCTTTCCTTTGATTACAACCAGTCCTATATCTTTGGCATTCTCCAGCTTTCCTTTGATTACAACCAGTCCTATATCTTTGGCATTCTACAGCTTCTTTCCTTTATTACAACCAGTCCTATATCTTTGGCATTCTCCAACTTTCCTTTGATTACAACCAGTCCTATATCTTTGGCATTCTCCAACTTTCCTTTGATTACAACCAGTCCTATATCTTTGGCATTCTCCAGCTTTTTTCCTTTGATTACAACCAGTCCTATATCTTTGGAATTCTCCAACTTTCCTTTGATTACAACCAGTCCTGTATCTTTGGCATTCTCCAGCTTTCCTTTGATTACAACCAGTCCTTTCCTTACGATTTTCAGATTATAAACAACATATTCGCACCAATACTTTGCTATCACTGCCAAATGACATCAGAGGCTAGCTGCTTACACATGTGTGAGGTGCCTGAAGAAAACTACTAACCTAACCAGCCGAGACTGAGTGAGAAGTGCTACTATCAGACAGACTGGGAACAACAACTTGCACCAAATTCACTGAGAAGCAGAAGATCAAATAGTGTAGGGGTCTTGTAAGAATACAGCGGCAACTGTCCACACAGGTGCTGCACACAACAAGATCTGATGTGAACGCAAGAGGGTACCCATGGAGATGACATTTATGACATTAAAGACATTCTGTATTAACAGTGAATGACAATAACCAGTGCTACCCATCGAGCAGTGGAGTGCAAACTGTTCTGATGATGATGAAACCACCAAGCCATAGGCATAGTGTGAGCTTACACTGCCAAAGAAGAGGTACCGAAGCTGAGGCACACCAGAAATAGTCAAGTTTTTGTTAATAAAAATAAATAGTAAAGTTTGTGTTAAAAAAAATGAAATAGTAAAGTTTGCATTAACAAAATGAAATGGTAAAGTTTGGGTTAACAAAATAAAATATTAAAGTTTGGGTTAACAAAATAAAATATTGAAGTTTGGGTTAACAAAATAAAATATTAAAGTTTGGGTTAACAAAATAAAATAGTAAAGTTTGAGTTAACAAAATTAAAAAGTAAAGGACTCTTCATGCCCTAGGCTCATCAGGCAAATGGTGCTAGGCATTTGTATAAACCAAATGGCACTCGATGGGTGATGTTAACATCATCCCATCTGCCTTTACTTTACAAGACAATTTACTGGTACCCATATCTGCAGGGGTCTCAAGTGCAGTTAGAGGCAATGAAAAACACAAGGCAGCAACGGAGACAAAGAAGATGTAGAAGTATACCGGGCATTTAAATCTAGTGTTTCTTACATTACTGTTACTGCTATGCTGGTTGGGCAAAAGGGTGCTCTCGTTCTGCATCACAGCAGGACGCAACAAAGTGATGTTATTGATTTTCACATACCGATATTCACTCCATCACTTTCTCTTTTAAAATGTGTGCAGTCTCCACAATGTGCATCCACTGCTGTCTGAGAATTTCTTCTACTGCGGTTGCCTTCAAATGTGGCTGGCAGGGTATTTTGTTTGTAGCTAGCTGCAAAATCGATACTGTGTGGTCCAACACATCTAATTTATCCAACCCCTTAGTTAATCACCTTTTTTCTTTTTCTTTGTTCACCAGCTGTAAGCTTTGAAGGAAAGTCCTCATTGTTTGGACTTTGGCTTTGTGCCAGGGTCTGAGTTTTGCTTGTACATCCGTTTCATTGACTTATTTGTCTGTAGTTGGTTGTTCCTTGCCGCTTGGGCAGATGCACTCCAACTTTGAAGGAAGCTTCCAATTAGTCGACTTGTATGTTTTTTTTTAGGCACTGGGTCTATTCTTGTCCCCACAATGGGAGATCGCCCTTTATGACATGCTTCTTAAGAAGCAGTGAGTCTACCCCCCACCAGACCCGAGAACCCAGACTGAAACTTTATGAATATTACGTCACGAGGTTCCTAGTCTCTTCCACAGTGTGATTCTCATACTACTATCTGAAAACCATAAAAACAGTCTTCCTAAACTAGCCCTGTCATAGCCAATGTACACACAGACAAATCTTACATACTCTGCCAACTACTGATTACTGTAACTGCAGACAGAACTGAACATGGGCTAACCCAGATAAACATGCACATAAAGCTATTTGGAAGTCTTTATGAGCACTTCAATACAGTTTTTAAAAAAAAAAAAGCAAAAAACAAAAAGTGTATATTTCTACATTATTATTAGAACTAACTGTTCCTGTGGCCCATAGTTTAACAAAGACACTGTAAACCACCATGCATGTTGTAAGTCGCAAATTAGGCAGAGCTGACATGAGGTTTTGCTTTCACCCTTGAAAGGGTGGTTCGAAAACACTTTTGGTTTACAGCAAGGCTGTAATCTTTCTACCCAACACACCCAGTTTCAGCAAAACTTATTATTTACAACATACTTAGTTTTTTGTTTCTGTTTTGGGTGGGTCTTTCCACCACCAAAGCTGAGGCAAAAACCACACAGGAAGATTGACAAGACTTGATTTGTTTAACAGCCTATGCACCAATAGGAGATAGAAGGCAGAAAATTCAGACTGGAACAAAATAGCATGCGAATAAGTAGAATTCTTGTTTTCAATAAATTTTAAAAAAATCTCTCAATTATCTCAGAAGACTTCATTCTTTGGATAGGGAGAAAACAGGAGTACTCTGTGACAACACGAAAAATTAAGGTGAAGAGAAGCGGAGAAAGACAAACAGAGATAATGTTAAAGGGTTTGGCATCTCGGCATGGAAGACCATTTGTGTCAGAAATTACTGAGGTACACGAGAGAGAAGACTGTAGACATTAATTATCAACCCCACAGCGATCTGCTTTGGGCAGTACACAATACCAGCATTTTTCCATAATTTCTTTCAGCTTTACTGTAGCAGACACTCTGTGGTGAGTACTGGCATACTGTCTTAGAGAGGGGGGAGGTTGGGGGGTGGGGGGGGGGGAGAGCCCAAACATCACACAGCATCAGCTAAAAGAACAAGAAATTATATTTCAACAGATATTTTTATAACATCAATTTCTGTATAACATCTCAGACATGGACACAGAATGATAACTGTGTGTGAATGTCACACAATAAATGAATTTCTATATCTTTTTCTTCTATTACTGGGTCGTAGCCCAAAGTCATGATTTTCTGCATTTGTTTTGTGCTTCTCTTGTGGCCAAAGTGATGATTTTGTTCATCTATTTGCTAGATTCAGCTATGCCGTCTTTAGAGTTCTTCTTTGGTCTTCCTCTGGGTTTCAAACCATATGTTCTGTTGTACATACATAGTCTCATATACAGTTTGAATTTCTGTATAACATCTCAAATACATGAACAAAATGCTAGCTTTAAATGGCCGACAGGCTGTTTTACAAAATATAAGTCTGTATAACATCTAAGATGTGAACACAATGCTAACTGTGTGTGGATGTTTTACAAAAAATATCAGCTTATTGTTGATGCCAGATGGATGTTTCACCAGACGAATCTTTATAGACCATCTCAAACATGAACACTGTGCTAGCTTTGTGTAGATGTTTTACAAGATATATATGTATAAAATCTCAACCTTAACAGAATGCTAGCTTTGTGTGGATGTCAAATGTATGATTTACAGCAAAAATTTGTATACAATAGCTCAATAAAACAAACAGAATGCTAGCCTTGTTTGGATGTCAGATGGATGATTTACACCAACAATGTACATAGAATAGCTCAATAAAACATAAACGGAATGCTAGCTTTGTGTGGATGTTGGTGGCATGCTGTTGAGAGAGGATAGTGCCAAGTCCAACCATTTCTGCTCTTGCTCGTGCACATTTTCTGTACTGAGGCCATTATCCTGGTCAGGTTCTGGCCGTGCTGTTACCGGCACCTGCGATAAAACATGGCAGGTGAAACATAAATATTCACACTGTTTAAAATAATGTATCCAGGGTATACGGAGCGTTAGGAAATGAACAGGCAGACAAACTGGCTGGTTCTGCTCCAATGGCTGATGAATTTATACATAACAAACTAGATGTGGTCAGGGTCCTTTGGGAGAAAGTGAACAGTGCAGAAACATGAATGGATCTTTATGGTCTGGAGAGAACTGTACAGCTAGGAGGGACCAGGGGAATCTGGTGGACACTCTACACTTATATGTCTGAGTTGCATTCAGACAACTCCCCTCTAACCCAGTCTTTGGGTTACAGATACTGTATGATCTAAACCAGTGGTTGGCAACCTTCCTAATGTCACCACCTTTTAATAAAGTTCCATTATGTTGTGTTGACCCACAAACAATTATTTTTCTTCATAATTTCAATAAATATATGTTTTCCGATGGTATTTGGCCACCCCTGTAAAAGGGTCATTTGACCCCACAAAATGTCGCGACCGGCAGGTTGAGAACCGCTGATCTAAACATTTTGTCAGTTACATTCACACATTTAATATTATAGCATTCCCAAAAGTGCCTTGTTCCCATCTTCAACAGTCAGCACAGAATTTTAATTCTTATGGTGCAAGTAGCTGTTTGATTATCTGTCTGTAGTATCTTTCCTCTGAGTTTCAGACATATCCCATAGCTACACCAACTACATCGCTGTCTCTGGATCCCATAGCCACACCAACTGCATCATTGTCTCTGGATCCCATAGTCACACCAACTGCATCGTTGTCTCTGGATCCCATAGTCACACCAACTGCATCATTGTCTCTGGATCCCATAGTCACACCAACTGCATCATTGTCTCTAGATCCCATAGACACACCAACTGCATCATTGTCTCTAGATCCCACAGTCACACCAACTGCATCATTGTCTCTAGATCCCACAGTCACACCAACTGCATCATTGTCTCTAGATCCCATAGTCACACCATCTGCATCATTGTCTCTGTATCCCATAGTCACACCAACTGCATCATTGTCTCTGGATCCCATAGTCACACCAACTGCATCGTTGTCTCTGGATCCCATAGTCACACCAACTGCATTATTGTCTCTAGATCCCATAGTCACACCATCTGCATCATTGTCTCTGTATCCCATAGTCACACCAACTGCATCATTGTCTCTAGATCCCATAGTCACACCAACTGCATCATTGTCTCTAGATCCCATAGTCACACCAACTGCATCATTGTCTCTAGATCCCACAGTCACACCAACTACATCATTGTCTCAGGATCCCATAGTCACACCAACTGCATCATTGTCTCTAGATCCCACAGTCACACCAACTACATCATTGTCTCAGGATCCCATAGTCACTCCAACTGCATCATTGTCTCTAGATCCCATAGTCACACCAACTACATCATTGTCTCTAGATCCCACAGTCACACCAACTACATCATTGTCTCAGGATCCCATAGTCACACCAACTGCATCATTGTCTCTAGATCCCATAGTCACACCAACTACATCATTGTCTCAGGATCCCATAGTCACACCAACTGCATCATTGTCTCTAGATCCCATAGTCACACCAACTACATCATTGTCTCTGGATCCCGTAGTCACACCAACTGTATCATAGTCTCTAGATCCCATAGTCACACCAACTGCATCATCGTCTCTAGATCCCATAGTCACACCAACTGCATAATTGTCTCTGGATCCCATAGTCACACTAACTGCATCATTGTCTCTGTATCCCATAGTCACACCTACTGCATCATTGTATCTAGATCCCACAGTCACACCAACTGCATAATTGTCTCTGGATCCCATAGTCACACCAACTGCATCATTGTCTCTAGATCCCATAGTCACACCAACTGCATCATTGTCTCTGAATCCCATAGTCACACCAACTGCATCACTGTATCTGGATCCCATAGTCACACTAACTGCATCATTGTCTCTAGATCCCATAGTCACACCAACTGCATAATTGTCTCTGGATCCCATAATCACACCAACTGCATCGTTGTCTCTGGATCCCATAGTCACACCAACTGCATCATTGTCTCTGGATCCCATAGTCACACCAACTGCATCATTGTCTCTAGATCCCATAGTCACACCAACTGCATCGTTGTCTCTGGATCCCATAGTCACACCAACTGCATCATTGTCTCTGGATCCCATAGTAACACCAACTGCATCATTGTCTCTGGATCCCATAGTCACACCAACTGCATCGTTGTCTCTGGATCCCATAGTCACACCAACTGCATTATTGCCTCTAGATCCCATAGTCACACCAACTACATCATTGTCTCTAGATCCCATAGTCACACAAACTGCATCATTGTCTCTAGATCCTATAGTCACACCAACTGCATCATTGTCTCTAGATCCCATAGTCACACCAACTGCATCATTGTCTCTAGATCCCATAGTCACACCAACTGAATCATTGTCTCTGGATCCCATAGTCACATCAACTGCATTATTGTCTCTACATCCCATAGTCACACCAACTGCATCATTGTCTCTAGATCCCATAGTCACACCAACTGCATCATTGTCTCTGGATCCCAGAGTCACACCAACTGCATCATTGTCTCTAGATCCCATAGTCACACCAACTGCATCATTGTCTCTAGATCCCATAGTCACACCAACTGCATTATTGTCTCTAGATCCCATAGTCACACCAACTGCATCATTGTCTCTACATCCCATAGTCACACCAACTACATCATTGTCTCTAGATGGTGATAATTTTTGTGTGCTTCTGTATTGTTTAACTGCTCTCAAAGGACCATCACCACTTCTGGCCAAGAGGTGTGAAATGAGCTAATCTGTCTGTCTGTTTATTTGCCAACACACCTGTATAACCTAAAGAAAATGACTACAGAATGCTAACTAACTGGGGCCTCTGAAGCAATGCTTGCCACTCTGCACTGAGCATGTCTCAGTTTCTCAGTATGCTTTGCCAGTTTGTTACAATCACGATATGTGTGCAGTTGGTTCTCAAGCTAGTGGAAGGCTGCACTGTCTGCCTCCACCTCCACTCTCATACTGTGGTATCATAAGCTAGGCTTTCCGTGCATAAAGCATCATCCATTAACTGTTTCCAAGAACAACACAGAGCCATATATTATAAATAATCACATCACATGGATGTGAAATGTCATGAATCAGTTGTTACATTTCTGATTCGCAGTGCCCTCTGGTCAATCCATGTTCTTGTGGCCACTGTATATCTAAACATTCATTGCTACATGAGTTATGTGATACAAATTGACATCATAGCACTCAGGAATTCTCATAAGTGTTCTGTCCCCATCTTCAGCAGCAAGCGCAGAGTTCCAATTCTGATGGTACCAGTAATAGTCTGATTGCATGCCCATCTTGCCCCTCTCTTGAGTATTGAGCATCGGCCATATCCAATGGTCACTCCTCACTGCTCTCTTCAGGCTGTGATGATCTGTACGTGCCTTTGCACTGTTTACTAGCTTCCAAAGTACCCTTAAAACACCTAGCTTGTCATGCATCAGTTTACCACCACGTAGTCTAGAACCAGTCAATCTATCTGTCTGCTCATTTCCCAACACCCTGGCATACCCTCGAGAAAATATCCATGGAACGCTAACTACCTCTGAAGTGATGCTTGCCACTCTGCATGAAGCACACCTGACTGCAACTTTCTCAGTATGCTCTGTGAGTCGGTTACAATCCAAAACATGTGTGGTAATTCCTTGTTACTATTAGACACTGTACCTCTAAATCCCTCACTCCAAACAACATCATATTTAACATGTCAATCAGTACCTGAATATCTTCTTTAGGTAGCTGGTCCGACCGCCATTTCTCATCGATCATATCCATTAATCTACCATCTCTCTGATATTCACTGTCCATAGTCACTGCTGAAATCAGAAATGTATGAATTATGATTTCTGGCCCCTGGAAAAATGGTTAGTACTTCATTACTCTGATCAGAGCAGACTGAGAAGTATTCTTCTTCCTCTTCACGTCCTCTTTTCCTCTTGAAAAGAAGAAAATGAGTGCATCATGGCAGTGGGAAAGATGGAGGGAAAAGAGGCAGAGAGAGAGACCACGACAGAAAATGCTGGATAGTTTCATATCATGGCATGAAAGACCATCTGTATCACTCCTTCTCTCTCTCTCTCTCTTTCTCCTCTCTCCCTTTTCTCCCATTCTCTCTCGTTCACTTTCTTTTTCTCTCTTCTCTCTCGTTTATTTTCTCTTTCTCTCTCTCTCGTTCACTGTTTCTTTATCTTTTTTTTCTCTCTGTCTCTCTCGTTCAATTGAGATCCAAAAACACCTTGTGTAAAATTCTATTATAACTGCTTAGAGCAGTGATTCCTAAACTGTGGGCTGCGGTGCCCCAGAGAGCCGCAACCTCTTCACAGAGGCGCCGTGAAATATTATAAAAGCTTCATAATTAATTTAACCAAGATACGAATAGTCAAACTTTTACTTAGGTTAGGGCGACGTGAAATATTGTAAAAGCTTCATAATTAATTTAACCAAGACACGAATAGTCAAACTTTTACTTAGGTTAGGGCGCCGTTGAAAAATGTTGATTGAAAAAAAGGCGCCGCCACCAAGAAAAGTTTGGGAAACACTGGCTTAGAGCACTATCAGTACCTACACATGGCTGTGAAAAGTGGACCTTAACATCTAAATCTGAAAGGAAAATACAAGTATTGGAAATGTGATGCTTTTGAAATGTTATGTTATCACAACTGAGATCATCGTACACTGGGCTATCCAATGCGTGCTCAGTCCTCCTATGCAGCAGCCTCTTCACGCCATGGTACTTCAACTAATTGTTCCCATGAGAAGTTGGTTATATCTTGGCCTCGAAGGCGGCATTGAGGTGCTTTACCATGCTTTTCTCCCATGTCACACAAACTCTTTTTGAAAGCTGGGTATATCATGCAGAGACCACACCACAAATCGGCAATACCATCCTTGATACACTGATAACTATAAGCCTCTTTTAATTGCAGTTAAAAGATTGAAAATGCAGTAGTATGGGCGAGTTATAAGATCTATCAGCCTCTCCAAAATGATACTACATGGCTCTGTAAAGGGGAAGAAAAAAGGCAGACCAAGATACATAACTTAGCTAAATGGACAAGCTGCAAACATCAAGTTCATTGTATTTGGCCAAGAGAAGGGAAGGGAGCTCCCAGACAGTTAACGGCAACTGGTACACCAATGACACACAGTAGTATGGCACTGATGGTGATGAAAAATTACGAAAAAAGCAACGGACTGAGAGATAAAAATACTATAGGTATTCATTATTTTGCCTTTTAATTTTCAAATAAGTGCACAAACTGTATCCTGGAGGATTTATTGCCTGGCATATTTGACTTTATCTTGTCAGGTTCATTACTACAGCTTTTTATTTCATAATACAACGAAGGCCAGTGGACAGGATTATTCTCTGGGCTGTGTCAAGAAGGTAAAGTCACCAAAATATTCAGGAAAGAGGGACATCCACTGACAGATCAACAGCCTGTTGTGGTCACTGCATGTGTTTTTACTGTTCAACATCATCAAATGTCTAGCTGAATGGTGCTCATGTTTCTCCATATCTTGATGCTGCTGCACTTGTATGCTGTGGCAAAAAGGAGAGGCTGCAAAAAAATTTATCTCTGTGCCTGTTGGTCACTGTTCCCCTCCAGGATTGCTACATACATAAATGACAATATGCCATTGCTAATCACAGGACTAACACCTTAATGATGAGAATTCAACAGGAGCAGACCCAAGAAACCCTGGTCAACAGTAATAGCACAGTTAAATAGGGCACCCCTACAGTTATGGAGTAACCTCTGTTAAATGTGGGGTGAGGGGGTGTTCTCTTTAGCTTATGGCTTTTTTATGGGGGAAAAGTGTGCCAGTACTACCATGGAGTGTCTCATACAAGGTGCCTTTTTTCTTTAAATTTCTTAGCTCTATACTACAACTGGATAAACAGTACACGAATCAAGCGCCGTTATCACCAAGAACATAAGTTGAATGAAAACTAATCAACAGTGTTCAATTAAAACAGGCCGGAGATCATTTTAATGTAATTTAATATTACCCACATCACAAAACTCGACTTGCAAATCTATCGTTGAACTCCGGCAGACCGATCTCTATTTTAGTTTTCTCATTAAAGTAAAAATGTGAATTTTTTCTTGAAGAGACCCAAAAAAAAAAAAAAACACACATGTTGTATAATTCTCTATTTATTCATAGATTTTGACATAACTATACTTATCTCTGTATGTTATTATGTGTCAATTTTTAACCGTATAACTTGTTACTGATTGAGATGTACATTGAATAATTAATATAATATAAACATTTTAATTGTTTTGTGAATATTTACAAATCAAATGTCTATGGAATATATGTAAAAGTTGTACTTCCGGGTTCCACAACTTATGTTGACGTTTGGTTGACTGCATTTCTCTCATTGAGAAGATTTAGATACTTGACCTTTTTAGAGAGCATAGATTGAAACAGCAGACCGCTAGGACTCTCAACGCGGCATCGTTCTGTCTATTAATTATTAAACTATAATAAGTAGGTCGCCATGTCAGTAGTTTACCCTGGCGTATCACAGCCACCTCCGCCGTATGACCCACCTCCTCCGTGGATTCCAGTAGAAGAGGTTTGTCAGTCTGCCTGCTTCCAGATATACAGTGTATAATACATCAGTTGTTTATTTACCAGCCAAGTTAGCTAACGGTAGTCCCATAGCAGTTACTGTTGTTTTAGTGTATAAGTAACTAATTAAGGACTTGCTTCTTCTTTGCGTTCACCAGCTGTTAACGGAAAGTTATGGTTGTTCATCCACTTCTAGACTGCAGTCCTGTTTCAAGACTTGAGTGTTGCATATTCATCCGTTTTACAGATGTGACTCATTTGTATGCAGACTGCTGGTTCCTTGCCTCTCAGGCAGATGCACTCCGACTTCAAAGGAAGCTCCCAATTAGTCGACTCTTACGACATGCTTTTGGGTAGGCAGTGGGTCTATTCCTGTTTTTCCTTTAATAGGGCACTGGAACACACACTGGGAATGGACTTGCTAAGATCAGATGAGTTTTTTGTGCTGAAAACTGCATATATCGCAGCCATACTGTAAACCACAGCATTCCACCTGTCATTTTAAGGGCAGACACAAAAAAGAACATATTCTAAGCTACAGACATACAAGAAATTCAACCACTTCCCTTCCTTCCCATAACATTTTCCGTTGACCATTCTTCAAGACTGGACAAACCCCAAATTTGGTTAGCCTTCCTATGCTGGAGATTGAAATGCTACCACTACTACCACTGTCTCGGCAATCAAGTGCACTAACCACTAAGTCAATCATGGCCAACAGTATAAGTCTGTAATTACATGTTTTTTTTATATTAGGTTTTTTTAAAAAAGATATCAGTTTGCAACATTTTGACAAGACTGGTAATTGCATGGGTAAAAGCAACATACTTTGTGTTTTTTCCCTATTTTCAAACATTGTGGAGAAGTAAAATAAAAAACAGTACAAATGTTGTACGGTATGCTGCTGTGATGGCACACTCTCAGACTGCTGTGCTCCATATCATGATTTCAACAGAGTCACCTTTTACATGTTTTTTATATTTTTTACGCCCCCCGCCCCCGAAAACCGATGTGGGGGCCCTAGACCCATTATCCTATCATTTGTTTGGTTCATGCTTGTCTGCCCATAACTGTTTTCTCCAGTATGATGTGTATGTTATGTCTTTTAATGTAAACAAAAATATTTCAACTTTTCCATTCTCAGTCTTTTTCAGAACCTCTGTGTATATATTTATATATATATATACTAGCTGTACCCGGCCACGCGTTGCTGTGGCGTAATTTGAGATAGTCTTTGATCACCCCCCCCCCCACAACTAAATCCACCTAGTACCCTCTCCCTCATCAAAGGTTTTTAGAAAAGAAAGACAATGGAAATCGCACCTGTCTAATGAAGTTAATGACGCAGTCAATGTCTGCCGACGTCGAGATAGTCCTTGATTGCCCTCCCCCCCCCCCCCCATCAAAGGTTGTTTGAAAAAAAAAAAACAGAAAATAGAAATCGTGTTTAATATGGTTATTGTGGCAAATATAGAGATAGTCTTGTTTGCGGTACCTCGACCTACTCTATGTATTAAGGCGTTGGCTGCACGTAACTCGCCGGCGAATGGCAGAAGCCTTGCGTTCTGACTACGGTGGCGCATGCGCAATTACTAACGTGGCTATAATTAGAAATCACTAAAGTTATAAATATTAGTTGCGTATATTTTGGCATAAATTGTGGTCACCTATCTCTAACAGTGACAGGTTGAATTTCAAACCACGATGGTTCAAAATCCGGTATCACAACAAACATATCCTGAAAATTTCAGCTAAATCGGTTCAGTAGTTTCCGAGTCTATAGAGACCAAACAAACACACAAACATTGATTTTTATATATATAGATATATATAGATATATATAGATAGATAGTCTGGTTTTCCAACTTTAGAACACGCACCATATAATTGTGTCTTTATATTAGTGGTCGTTTAAATGGTGTTATTAGCACGGTAACAAAAGTGGTTATTTGGTTATCACATGCTAAAGCTGTTTGTATTTTTATAGGAGACGGAAGTAAAGCTACAACTGTACTTGTAAATAACAAAGTAAGTCGTAAAAAATAGAAAAGCGGAGGTAGCGTTAGTAAAATATAAACAAATTAGGTAATGTGAACTTGAAAATCACGTGTAAAGCTCTTTAAGTTCTCTTAAATTTAAGTCATTACCCCCCTCCCCTCCGCTCTTCCACCGACTACTGCTCTCTCCCTCTTCGAAGGATTTGAAAATCACTAACTGGCGATATTTTGTTGTTGCTGTAACTGACATTGACATCCCTGTCCATCTGGACTAAAATAAGGAGCAGGAATTGTAAAAGGTAGTGAATAGGGCTAGTGAAATATTTACCACATCATCCTTCAAGTACCAGTACAACTACTAAAATAATGTCACTGCTATCTGTGTTACCATCGGAGTAGACAGAGAGTCGTGAGCCAGAAGATTTGGTTCCGCATGGCTAGTGCTGTCGCCACAGACTGGTCAGGTTAGGATGTATAATTTCACTTGCCGACAGAAGAACGCCATAACCTTACTGGCGGTCTTCACATGAGAGCACTATGGTGTAACAGCCCAACCACAACTATTACTGCTGCTGCTACTTTAAGTGGGTAAAGCAGTTACTGTGACTTAAAGCTCTCTCAGTTAATAGTTTGACCCCCCCCCCTCCCCCCAAATTCACCGACAACTCTTTCCCACATTGAAGTAGTTGGGAGAAAAAAAAAAAAAAACTTGAAAAGCAAATGAACACAGGAAAAAAACACCATAATTAGGAAATGAACGCCATTGTAAACAGCACAGCTTAAAATTCCAATACAGATGAAATAACTAAATCTAAATGAAAATAAATGAAAATCTAAAAAATTTCAGCGTAACCATGCAATCGGAAAGTTTAACAATGCAATCATAAGTATGCGAAATAGTCAAATTTAATTATCAAATGGTTTACCCATTTACTTTTTTTTTTTTTTTTTAATATTAAGGCAACATGGCTAGTGCTGTCACCACGACAGATAGATGAGGATATTATTCTAGTCTGGGGTAAAAAAAAAATGTAACTACTGCGGATTCGAACCCAGGTCTACCGCACTTGAACCCAGTGTTCTAACCATTTGACCAAGCAGCCACTTAATCGGAACAACAAAAAGAGAACACTACTATTAGACATATGTGTCCCTACCACTGTGTCGCGATTAAAACACAATTCAAAACCGCAGGCAATTGTTTTCTCGTAGACAGATTCATTCATTCATTCAGTAGCATGTCCCTCGCGGAACCTCGCTGCCATAACAACCCTCCGGAAAACCTTCCTATCCTGAGCAAGATGTCCTGCGTCTGATACACCCATCTGGAGATCATCTGCCACTTCCTGCACCCATCTTCTCCTTGGCCTTCCTCTTCCTCTCTTCCCAGGCATATACCCCTCCATTATTGTTCTCTCTAGACTTCCATGACGTTTCAAGTGACCAAAATATTTCAATTTTCTTTGTTTTATTGTCTTTACTAGCCAACCCTCTTCAATATTCAGCTCTTGAAGTATGGATGCATTTGTTATTTTCTTTACCCAAGATATTCTTAGAACCTGTCTGTAACATTTATATTCAAATGCATTTATGCGCTTGAATATAAATGTTACAGACAGGTTCTAAGACAGATACTCCAGATATATTAATGAAATAGAAATTGCACGTGTCTAACACGGTTAATGAAGTTAATGTCGCAGTCACTGTCTGCGCCGACGTCGAGATTGTCCTCGATTGCCCCCCCCCATCGAAGGTTGTTTGAAAAAAAAAACAGAAAATAGAAATCGTGTTTAATATGGTTATTGTGGCAAATATAGAGATAGTCTTGTTTGCTGTACCACGACCTACTCTATGTATTAGTATTAGAGAAGGCGTTGGCTGCACGTAACTCGCCGGTGAATGGTAAATACGGCGCATGCGCAATTACTAACGTGGCTATAATTAGAAATCACTAAAGTTATAAATATTAGTTGCGTATATTTTGGCATAAATTGTGGTCACCTATCTCTAACAGTGACAGGTTGAATTTCAAACCACGACGGTTCAAAATCCGGTATCACAACAAACATATCCTGAAAATTTCAGCTAAATCGGTTCAGTAGTTTCCGAGTCTATAGAGACCAAACATACACACAAACATTGATTTATATATATATATATATATATATATATATATATATATATATATATATATATATATATATATATATATATATATATATATATATATATATATATATATATATATATATAATACCCATCATTCTTATTTCCTATATCTATCCACATCTCCTGTATTTAATAGTTTTGCATATATTTTGTTCATCTACCACACATGATATCTTTATAAGCCTGATCTCCCTCCTTCTCATGAGTTTCTTCTTCTTCTTCTATTCTTTGTTTTCAGGTGGAACAAAAAAAAACCTCAGCCAACTCACACCGTATCCTCCTATATTTTCACCATCACATGCAGCTCTCCCATTGGCCTCCTGATATGTTTTGTCACCTCATTATTTCATTATCATTTCAATTTTTCTTGTCTTTTAAACATTTTTTTATTTCAGTGATTTTATGTTTTCCCGTGCAGAAACATTCTTGTTACATTGCTATTGAGTTTTCTTAATGTGTGACATATCCATATCTAGCATCTTTTCCTTGATTCATTGGAATTAGGTCTCTCCCGAAGCTCCACATTAGTAATTCTCTCATGTCATTTAATTTCCTCTATTTTTCACAGGCCTCTTAAAGTTTATTAACATTTATTTTAAGTGTATTCAGCTGTACACATTTATGTTTCTTTATCTGGATCTACACACTGGGTCATGCGGGCATAAAGGGATAAATGAGCGAGTGGACCAACTGGCAAGCACTGCACTAATGATTCCGGGAAAAAGCATGAACAGAGCAGATATGGTTAATGCTGTATGGACTGGGCTAGTGGAGAATGAGGAATCCCTAACACTAACACGATTGTGTGACATGGGAGTTAAGCATGGTGAAGCACGTCTTTGCCGTCTTCGAGGCTGAGAATGGAGACAATATAACCAGGTTCTCATTTGGACAATTAGTAGAAGTACTTTGGAGTGGCTGCTGCTTCGGAGGACTGAGCACGCATGAGTATGCCCAATGTGCAGTGACGTCGATTGTGATAACAAAACATAAAATAACATCTTGTAGCTAGTCGGCAGTCCGAAACCCAAGTTCAAGGTGTCTCCTTCAGGCCAAAGAACTGCATGGCTGTTGGGTGAACAGTCGTTAACAAAGGCAGTCAGGTCTTTGTAGGGGCGACGCCTGCTGGTGGATGTAATGTTCTAAGTCCCTTTCCCAGCTTATAGTGAGGGTACTGCTGGGGTGATCGTTTATTAACCCTCATATAATGCTTCAGGTCAAAATGGATGCTAGGCACGGCCACTTTTTTTTTTTTCAACCAGGCGGTGGCAGTTGCATTTTTTGCTCTATTTGTAGACTGGAAGGATATAGTTTTGTCGCCTAGCTTCTGAGTTGAGTGCATGGTGTGACACTGTGAGCTACATGTGTTTTTCCTTGGCACAGGAGCGAAGCAACTGTAGGGTGACCCGTTTGCTATGAAGCTGAAACTAGGATTACCAGGATATGTTTCTTTATTTCCCAAGTTCATTCATGGTTAGACGATAAGTATTTTGTGTAATTGTGTTTTCAGAGAATCCACAACAGAAATTACAACAGTAATCTTCAAATGTTCCTGCCACGGACAGTTATTTTGAAACGCTTAAAAGCTGCAGATACTGTAAGTGCATAGATTGCTGCTGCGTATGGCATATATATTGGTTTTCGTATTTTAAATTTTAGTTGTGATTTTTCATTTGGTTTGTAGAGGTCAAAGCAGATCTTGAAAACAAGGTCATTTAACTACCATTTCCAATTTCAAGGTTGTGACATTTCAGTAAAGAAATTTCCTATTTTCATCCTCCATAAAGAAAATAGAATAGACTTTCTCTCAAACTAATCCTTATTTCAGTTTCCATGTCATGACAGCAAATTATTCTTGAGTTGCCAACTCTCATATCTTCACTGACCCAGCATAGATCCATGCCAACTCTCAAATCTACTCAGATCTAGCATCTGTCCATGCCAGCTCTCTCATTTCTCTACAGACCCAGAATAGATCCATGCCAACTCTCTCATTTCTCTACAGACCCAGAATAGATCCATGCCAACTCTTTGATTTCTCTACAGACCCAGAATAGATCCATGCCAACTCTTTGATTTCTCTACAGACCCAGAATAGATCCATGCCAACTCTTTGATTTCTCTACAGACCCAGAATAGATCCATGCCAACTCTTTGATTTCTCTACAGACCCAGAATAGATCCATGCCAACTCTTTGATTTCTCTACAGACCCAGAATAGATCCATGCCAACTCTTTGATTTCTCTACAGACCCAGAATAGATCCATGCCAACTCTTTGATTTCTCTACAGACCCAGCATAGACCTATGCCAAAGCTTATATCTACTCATACCCAGTATAGATCCATGCCAACTTAATTATTTCTTTACAGACCCATAATAGATCCATGCCAACTCTTTTATTTCTGCACAGACCCAGTTAAGGTCCATGCAAGATCCCAAAATTCTCAGGCATCTGCAAGTGGTAACCTGTACTTCTATAACCAGGATAAAAATACTTGAGTAAAGAAAACAAATGTTATAGACATGTGATTAGAAACAATTTCATTATCATTAAATGCCTTGCCAACTGGCACAGACAATCAACTTTCACCACCTCTTTTCTAACAACATGCATCAGTTTATGCGCTGGCGCCCATTCTTGCTGCAATTGACAACATTTAAGAGTTTTCTGATGTTTCTTCCTCTTTTGTTTCATAAATTTTTTCATTTGTCGCAGCATGTTTCGTTCTGTTTAACACACACACACAACATGCTCCAGTTAAATTAGTAGAATGGTTTATTTGTGCCACTTTTGTGGCTAAGGTTCTGGTCTGTGCTCCAGCTCTCTAGCATAATGCAGCATGTTCCATTTATTCGTTCTTATAGTGTGACCAAAAGAAGATAACTACCCCTTTGTTGTGCTTGTAATCCGTTCTCCCGATCGAGCCTCTCAACATATTTAGATTGCTTCTTTTCGCTGCTCAGGGGATTTTAAGCATTTGTCAGTCAGACCACATCTCTGCAGCCTCAGTGAGTTTTTGTTTGTGTGTGGCCTAGTTGACAGTTCTAGGATCCACAGCCATCTGCTAAAACTGGTTCTGTGGACTTTAAAGATTTTTGTCTAACCTCTGAATGATGGATTTATTCCTTAAGATAGTCTTCATTTTGTAAAATGCAGTTTTAGGCAGTTCTGTTGTGCTCTTTTTCTTGTTGATATATCTTCCATCTATTGTTAGCTATATGTTTTGTGTAGTAAAATTGTTAATTAAAATAATTAAAATTTTCCAGGATAACACTATTGACTTTAGTTATACAGTTAAGCAGACATTTACCAGAAGAAATAATAGAAACATACACATCCTCAGTAGAACATAAATACTCATTGTGAGCTAGGAAAATGCTTTAGTTTTATAGGCAGTCAAAAAGTAATATAGAAAAAATAAATTTCCGTTACATCTCTAATGGTAAAATGTGTAATTTTTCTTGTTTCCCCAGCTTGGGTTCAACATTCGTGGTGGAAAAGAGCATAATTTTCCTTTCTTTGTGTCCAAGGTTAGTTACCATTGAAATGATTACATCAGGGTTAGGGTTACTATCCTGTTGATTATATCAAATTGGGATTACCATATTGGGTAATTACTTTATGGTTAGGCTCACTGTATAGGTGATGTCTTCATTGATAGGTTTACCATGTAGGTGATTACTGCAGTATTAGGCTTACAATATAGGTGATTACATCAGGGTTATGTTTACTGTATATGTGATTACTTTAGGGTTAAGTTTACTGTATAGGTGATTACTTCAATATTAGGGTTACCATATAGATAATGACTCCATAATTATGGTTACCATATAGATGATTACTTCAGGGTTAAGTTTACCATGTGGATGATTAATTCAATATTAGGTATACCAAATAGGTGTTTACTTCCGGGTTAGGTTTAACATATAGGTGATTACTAAATGTTGGGGTTACCATATACGTGATTATTTCAGGGTTACGTTTAACATATATGTGATTACTTTAGGGTTAGGTTTACCATGTAGATGATTACTTCAGGGTTAGATTGACCAGGTTACTTCACAGTTAGGATTACTATATATAGTTTATTGGTTATACACTGATTGATCATTGGAGGAAGCAGGAAAAAATGGAGGAGCTGGTTCAGTCATCATGTTGCAAGATGAGAACTGCAGTAGAAATGTCATATGCCTCCGGAAAACTCTAAACAAACTTCAGAGCAACAAGCATTTATTGATGCAGCCAAAGTGCTTGAAGAAGAAAAAGTTATAAACAGTAAAATTGTTTTCCTGTGTGACTGCATGTCAGTCCTCCAGGCGACTCCAAGCGATCTGTGAGACAACACGGAGAGAGAACTGACCCGCCAGCTAAACAGAGTCTCAGAAAGCAATCAAATTGTTCTCCATTGGATCCCGGCTCACTGCGGCATAGCAGGAAATGAGTTAGCGGATAGCCTTGCTAAAAATGGAGCAAAGGAGAAACAAAACACCCTTTCATTGTCATTACCAGAAATCAAAACACTTATCAAGGGAAGAAACAAGGAATTGTGGAAAGAGCAAACCAACAGTACACATCTACAAGATCCCATAAGCAGTCTCAAAATAAAGCAACATGCAACAATTGTCCCATCTATGAACAGGACACAGCAGGCTCCACTAGCACATGTATAAAGACTACAGTCCCCACAGTGTGCCTGTCAGGCAGGACCGCAAACACCTAAGCACATTATGCAGATCTGCCCACTCTACACTCTAGTGTGCAGAGCAAGCTATGGGGAACCATCAAGGACCTGCTAATGACATGCAAGATCATAGAGCCAACCCACCTGATGGTATGACCTGAGCATACGAAACCGAACGCCCAAAAAAAAAAGACGATTATTACTTCAGTGTTAAGGTTACCGTATAGAGGATTACATCTTAGTTTTCTCTGGCATCATTTGGTCCTCTCTTAATTTTAATCTGCTTATATTGTGTTAAACTTAGATAATGTTAAAGTTCGTTAGTGTTTAACCTACCTAGTGGTAGTTTCATGGTGTTTAACTTAAATGCTCATAAATTTGCATGGTGTATATTGACACAGTGTTAAACTTACATAGTGCTAAAGAAGTCTCCTCATGGAATGGTCAAACCATGTAGCTTGTACTCTGTAGGTTTTGTATTTGTTTTCACATTCTGTCTAAGATTTTAGGTTTGAACAACGGATCAACGTCACGGCACAGTGCACAGGCTCTGTAGCACCGGCGAGGATCCTGAAATACTTTGGGTAGAATTTTTAACTCCAAATTTTGCCCGGGCAGCCCCGTTAGGCTACTCTGTTTGATTTCCAACTGCCAAGGGATTTTGTTAATGTGTGCAACAATGCAATCTCACTACCCAGAGACCAGGGAAATTACCAGAAGTCCAAGTCCACGTGAAAAAACCCCAGCCCTTACTGGAAAATGAACCCGGAACCTGTAGCACTCGAGGTTGACACCATGCCTCGAGACTACGCAGCCCCACGCAGTCTAAGATCTGAGAAGAGTTAACAGCAAGAAATAAACTGAGATAGACTGTGTTTGAGTAGAATGTTGGGGAACACAAACATGGTCTAGAACACCTTAGACACTATGGTGATACAGAGCTACACAGAACATAGGACAGCAGTCAATGCACTAAATTTTTACATGGAAAAGGATCATTTCCTGAAAATATAATTATGTTGGTCTACTGTTAGTGTCTTATTGTTATGTTTATGCAGTCTGTTATGCCTTCTGTCTTCTTCATATATTAATTTCATTGTTTTTATCTGGGCTGTGTTCCTATACAGGTGATGCCAGATAGTGAAGCCAGCAGACTCGGCATTCTGGAAGGGGACCAGATCGTTAAAGTCAACGGTATTGATTTTGATACTTTAGATCATGCAGAGGTTGGTGCACATTTTTATGTTTATCCATTCTTTTTGCTTTTGTTTATTAGATTTCCTTTAGAAAGCCAGTGAACGAATAAACAAACAAACTTTATTTTCAAAGGATTATAAAATAATTTGTATTAACATCTTTTGGAATAAAAAGCAACAGTTTGATACAATATGATTTATTTGTTCTTCACCAAGCCTCGTTAACTTTTTGTGTGTGCAGAAAACATTTTTAAACAAGCGAGAGTATGCTTGGACTTAATGCCAGTGGAAGAATAATAAACAGTTTGAGAAATGCTGATGATGTAGTGTGAGGGAGAAATAAAAGAATAGACCCATTGCCATCCTAACAAGTGTGTTATAAAAGGTGAAAAATTAGGGATTTGCTGAAATCAGATGTCTTAAGCAGAAAAGCGCAGATGTCATAGTGTTGCTAGAAACACAACCCAAGCTTACCGCCCGTTTAAGGGTGGGCACCGACAAAGAAAACAAGCAGAAAGTGACCAACCAGGAGTTACAAGACAAGAAACCTAATGAAGGGAGTAAACAGGAAACCTTGGAATATGGATTAATCTTATCATTCACACACACACAAAGCTGAGATAATTAGATCAATACTCTTTGCTTTCCTTATGGGGGCCTGGTCATACATGTGCACAATAATTGATCTGTTTGTTCTAATCTTCAAGAAACTGCCATATTGTTTCGATTAACTGAAAATTATAAACTGTCTTAAATTTGTGTTATGCTAGATGTTTAACTGTTTAAATGGTTGGGGCATATAGAGAGAATGACAGAGAGACAAAAACTGCCTACAGAAAAGATTTTAATAGGGGGTAGACCATGAGGCAGACCAAGAAGATGGTGGGGAGATAATATACAGGCAGACCAAGAAGATGGTGGGGAGATAATATACAGGCAGACCTATAAATACTTGGAGTCAACAGCTGGAAAGAGAACACCAGTCACAGAAAGAATCAATGAACTTAATTTTCAAAGGCTTAAGAATTGGGCATGCAGGCCTATCTTACAGTCTACCCTTTTGGTCTCACTCCTTACATAAATTATTCAATTTACATACCAGTTAGCATAAAAATAATGCACATCTACATCTGATTCTTAATCACAGTTGCTGAGATAAGCTCTAATTATACTGCCATTTCCAAATAGTAAAAATACTAAGTATAGTAAATCCGGGGGAGGTGAAAGAGGTTTGGAGGGCATAATATGTTTCAAACTATTATCTTTTACGGGGACATATAGTCTGTGCTGAGATAATATTCAGATAGATTCCGATTGTTTGTGTGTTGGGGTTATTGATATTTATGTTTGGCTGTGGAAGTTGGTTTCACAGATGTGCTGCAGAGTACGCCAAGATTGTTTTGTACAAGTCTATCCTAGGTTTTGGGATCTGTAGTATGTTTAGGCATTTGCTATTTTTCCGTTATATCTAAGCAAAGGCCAGAGGTAATCTGGAGTGTTTTTTGGATGCAATTTTGTGAATAAATTGAAAAGAAGGTGTTTGTGGAGTGATAGTAGCAGAGGAATCTTGTGTAGGTGGGTACAGTCTCTCCCATATTTGTTATAAATGAAGGCAGATTATATCTGCAGCAGTCTGGAGAGAACAGTGCAAAGACAATGGCTTGAATCATTACAGAAGTCCACTGCATGGAGTCACCTTTATTTTTGTTCCGGGACACGCAGGCGTCGATGGAAATGAAAGAGCTAACAGGTTAGCTGGATCCGCTATCACTACCGATGGTCAGCCTATGGATCATGCTGATATTATCAATGCCCTCAGAGAAATGGGAAGGATAGAGGACGGACTTTGGTGGCAGTGAATCCACATCACTCGCCAGAATGGCAGACTTGGGAATTAAGATCGGCACAGCAAAAAACGAGACGCACACCGGACACACCAGAAGACTTGTTAATCGACATAGAACTGGTACTATTAGCCATCGGACGTTGGGATTCATACTGAGGGGAGGATCTGAGCACCTATGGACATGTCCTGAGTGCAATGATGATAACCCAACTAACTAACTAACTAACTAACTAACTAACTAATATCTGCAGCAGTGAGCCTCAGTGGCTTGGAATGCTGAAGATGAAGTTTATCTGTTCTAAACTTCTGTGAACTGTCATAGGAATCCGTTTCTTTGAAAATTATAAACTTTTTTGTATTTGTGTTATGCCAGCAGTTTAACTTTATGTTATAAACTTTCACAGGCTGTCAGAGTCCTTAAATTCAACACAACAATAGAAATGGTTGTCCGATATTTTCCATTCGGTAAAGTATTTCTCCATATTTTATTCATTACAAGAATTAAATAGTATGGCAGAATCACTTATGTCGAGCTTTAGGAGAGAACAGCCCAGATTCCAGTGAATCATATGAGGAAAATACACTGATCACAGCAAACGAGCTTGGCCCATAGTTGCTCAACCGCCTATGCCAATGATTCCAGTCACAAGCTGAGTCAGAAAGTCTATGAGTGAGCTAGTGTAGTGAGCACCTGTCTGAGTGTAAATTACCACAAATTAATGTAACAACTTGAACAGCTGTGTTGCATAAAAAGGGTTGGTGATACCCAAGTGGAAGCCAGTCAGACGATTCAGCAGGCAGTTGTGTATCAATGACATCATCATCGTCATCAAGAACCTTTGCCGACTGGCGTGGGAGATCATACCTCGCCACAATCTGCAATCCGCAGTTGCCTGTGTATCAATGACATAATCATATCATTTGTTTTCTGTGACTCCTGCATGCACACAGTGAACCTTAATATCAGATATGTCATCTTCTGTGAGGCTTCTTCTTTTTCTTTTGTCGTCGCACTGATACCAGGTTGTAGCCCAGTTTCGTGGTTTTCTGTATCTGTCTTGTGCTGCTCTGGTGACTTAGGTGATGGATTTGTTCATCTTTTTGCAGATTTCGGCTACACCATTTATCCATCTCTTCCTTGGTCTTCCTCTTGCCTCCCTCCCATATGTTCAGCTGTAGAAAGTCTCATATGCTGTGTGGCTTAGGCGTAGCAAATGCGCTTTGTAGTTCTTAAATATCTTGTATGATTCCAATTGCAAGTGTTTTTTACTGCAGACCACTTTGCATTGATATTGACAATGGTATGGAGTGCCAACTGTTGAGAAGCAATTGTAAACTATTGATTGTACAATAACTGAAGTTGGTTCTGTCACATCCTTTAAAAGATGCTAACTGAAAGTAGTTTTTTGCATTCACGATGCTGTATTAGGCAAATAGCCAGACACTTGTACAAGGACGGCTCTAGTCTGACAACATTCCCTACCCATTTTTTGCACTTGGTTACAATATTTTTGGCCAGTTACAGAAATTCTCTTCTTTGTTAATCAGACCTTGCAACCTTTAGCTGTTTTCAAGCTGCAAAAGCTACAAGAGGATATTGATTTGAGCTTTGACAAAACATTACACAGTACATGACGAGCAAGTGGAATTCCATAAATATAAAGGACTTCCTTCCATCCATGGCAGGACCATTGGAAAAAGTGTGTTTAGTTCCAAGAAGACCACTTGAAAGAGATCAGAATCAACCAATCTCCTGATTTCACCCACAGGTTGAATACTTCCTAAAGAGACCTGATATAATGCTCTTGTACAACCAGAGAGGAAGAGGAAGACCAAGGAGAAGATGGGTGCAGGATGTGGCAGATGATCTCCAGATGGGTGTATCAGACGCAGGACATCTTGCTCAGGATAGGAAGGTTTTCCGGAGGGTTGTTATGGCAGCGAGGTTCCGCGAGGGACATGCTACTGAATTAATGAATGAATAACCAGTTATCAATAAAAGCAATAGGTTGTGCAGTGTATTGTTTGTGTCGGCATTATTTACATTTACAACAGAAAAAAATTGTTTTGAACAATGCATTTTTCTGTAGCTATAGAAACGTTGAATGACCAGTATAAATGAACTAATATTTTGTCATGTGTGAACATATTTCCAGGATATCAGAGGACATATGATAGAATGGATCAGCACACGCAAACAAGTCCATCAAACTCATAGACTACACAACATTAAACTTGGTGCTGCTGCTGTTGTATCTTTCCTTTAGTTATGTATTGTAGTTGAATTAGTTGGTTTGATTAGTGTATGTGTACCTGTTTCAACACACTTGATTAATTTATTTGTACCTTCTTCGACCCATCTGAATGAAGCCCTGGGTACAGCTAAGGGCCACAAACTGTTAAATGAAAAATCTTGGATTCACAGACAGAGGTAGACAAAGATCTGTGTATGCTTGGAAAATATTGGGAGCAGTGGGTCAAAGTGTCCAAACAAAGAATCGTGTAGGGTTCTGTTCACATTGTGCAGCAACTAACCAGTGGTGGCTGCAGAATCAGAAGTTCAGCAGCTGATTTGCAACAATTCCCACCCAGTTGATGTGATTATCTGTACAGATAGTTCTGTACTGAGAGGCAGAAGTGCATTGGAGCTCATTGCAAAAGTGAATGGACAGTGACCTTCAGAGCGCAAGGCAAACTGCTTGATGACTTTGCCACAGAGACCCGATACTTACTAAAGTGTATTTAGCATTGGTTGCCTAGAGAATCAATTGTTATTTTTGTTGTTAAAAATAGATCTGCAGAGAAAAACTAAACCTTTGAGTTGAATTGGCAGGGAGAGAAAAGTTATGTTTAGATATTGGAGAGGGAGTCGCCGTGATATAGCGGCAAGACGCTCACCTATGAATTCGAAGGTCATGAGTTCAGGTCATGACGGAGCCGGCCTTTTTTAAAACAAAAATGACTTTGGCTCCCAGGTCGACCCAGCCTTGAGGAGGTACCAGGTAAAGTCCTGGGAACTGAAGGCGGCCAGCGTGATGCTGACCACATCACTCACCAAGTGCTGATTGGTCTATAAAATATAGGTCAAGTCCTATATGCTTAATATGACTGAAGGCATGTAAAGGATCCTTTACTTTGTACTTACTTTACTTAGATATTGGAGAAGGAACATTATTTACAAATA